ACATTGTAGTCGTTGTTGCAGTAATAAAAGGTATGTCATAGTTATATTGCTCTGAACTATAAATCGGCCTATGGAAATATTTGTTGTCGTCCTTTGTCTAACATATTTATGTTTTCTCTTTTGGATTTAGATTATTGTATTGTTACTTTGTAATTGCATAGCTACATAACATAGATGTAGCGATCTGTTATGCAATTTGTACTCTTGTTTATTGAATTTTCTATAATATGGATATAGCTTTGACTACTTTATGTTATCGAGACCGGTTTGTTTTATTAATTCACGTAAGTCAAACCGGTTTCCCTTATTAAAACAAACCCATAGTCACCAGGGACAATATGGTCCACTGTTTTGTTTGGGCCCAGCAAAAAGTGCCTACAATATACAAAGTGCCTTTCAGTGTAAGAAAAACTCATAATGTGGCCCATAGGGAAATCAACTCTTTTAGTTTTTGAAGGTTATTTTTGTGACATAGACTTAGAAATGTGCTATTGTGGAGATTTGTCCAATAAAATATGCTTAAATCTAAACAATAGTATATACTGGTAATTTGTTTTGCTAAATTTATCAAAACTGAAATGAAGTTCTGTAGATGATCTATCTAGATGATCTATCTAGATGGACATATCTAGATGGACATACGAATAGTCCAACTACTATTCAGATGGATAATTTAATGAACATTGCAAATGGATCATCCAAATAAAAATGACATATGATAAAGCGAAAAGCCCCTAAAATAAATTGTTATATTACAAATATTCCAAGAGAAACTCAACTTCCTTTCCTTTGTTCTATTCAATCAGAGGACGAACCTCTAAAACCTGAATCCTATTAAACCAAAACAAGTCATGTTAACATATCATATGTGATCATTAATATAAATTGTAATTACTATATATTACTACTCAAAACACCTAAACGTAAAAAAAAAAAAAAAAAAAATTCTGTAAACATTTACCATGAATCAAAAAAATCCTTCTTACCATGAACGAAACAACATGTATCGTAACTCCATAAGGACTTTTTATGTTCAATTCAAGATTAATAAAAGGGAAAATCGCATTTTAAACCTCAAAGGTGTGATAAGGTAGCACTTTAAACCTCCACGGTCAAAAACTCTCACTTTAAACCTTCAAACTATTTATACTAACATAATAAACCTCCGACTTGGCCTCCGTCTTTTCGTCATCAGAACGTTAAACGGAATATTAGACTCCGTTAACAGAGCAGTAAACAGACGTTTAAACTTAAAAAACGTGTTAAAATACCTAATCTTTTTTATCGTATCCTTAAGTAAAACAAATTGAAAAGGGGATCTAGGGTTCATACTATTTGAAAAGTAAAACCCGATAAAGGATAAAGAGGAGAAATCGAAGCGATACATCGAAGGAAAGAACGAAGAATTGAAGAGATAGTCGAATGCTATTTTCAGAATGGGGTAAGGTTTCGTTTTTCTCCCTCAATTACATTAACGACTTTCAATCAAAATCGATTTGGGGGTTTAGGGTTCTAAATTTTTTTTGTTGTTCGTGAGATATGGGTGCATTTGCCGGGTTCTAATTTATGTATTGTATCTTTTCTCTTACTCAACAGGGAAGTGTCGATAAGTTTGAGAATCCATATCGGTGGAACTATGGAGAAACACGAGGGGGTTTACAAGTACATTGGAGAGTTGATGGTCAGCACAGTTTGTTGGGAATTGTATGATATCTCTTGGGCTAAATTCGTACGCTTCTGTAGGGATTATGCAAAGATAATAACTCCAATCAGGTTAACTTGGTATAAAGACAGCACAGCAGAGATGAACACTGTCAATTATCTGTTTGACGACGATCCCGATGATATGTCTCTGGTAATATGTTTTGGGAAAGAAGTAGCTGAGCTTGAAATTTTCATTGAACATGATATCTCAGAAGCTAGGTATGGGGATGGAGAGGATGAACAGATTTTAGCGAGCGATGAAGAAGGAGAAGTGGAAAGGCCAATGGAAGATGAAGAACCTGAACAATCAGAGGATGAAAAGCATGAAAAAGAAAAAGCTTTGATAGATGAAAATTCGGCTGAAGAAGCTGAAGAACCTTTGGCAGATGAAAATTTGGCTCCTCGAGCTGATATTGGTGATGAAGTGGTTGAAGATGCTGGAGATGGTAGTCAAGATGATAGGTTTAAATATGTTTTTGAGGAAGGTTCAAAGGCAAAACCAGGAAAAGAAGCATATTAAAATTTTGAAGAAAAAGATGCAGCCGAAAGAGAAGCTGAAGAAAGTGATGAGGAATGTGTGTTGGAAGAGGAAGCAAACTATCCAACCACACCGGTAGGATCCGACGAAGAGTGGGAGCAATGGGATAATCCAAAAGGGACCAAGAATGGACAGTCAAAGTTTCATGGTGATCTAGAAAAGCCGCCATATATTTGGTTATTCCAAAAGTTCAACTCTGGTTTAGAGTTCAAAGATCAGCTTCTGAGATACTCTTTGAAGACACAATACGATGTGAAGATGGCGAAGTCTGAGTCGAACAGGATTGCAGTTGTTTGTTGTGGTGAGAACTGTAAGTTTAGAGTATACTGCTCGTTTGAACCACCAATCAATAAGTGGATGGTTAAAGTATGCCAGATGCATCACAACCATGGCAAAACAAGTAAAGTTTCAATGTTGAAGCAAGGGGTCATTGCAGGACTTTTTAGAGAAGAAATTCGAAGGAATATAAGCTTACAAGCATCTGTAATCAAAGACACGATTAAGGAGCGATACCACATTGTTGTTCCCCTTTCTAAGTGTTACAGAGGAAGGCGAATTGCTTTGGACTCCATTTTAGAAGCTCAAGCAACTCAGTTTGGTAAGTTATGGGACTATGAAGCGGAATTAAGGTGAACACATAGCGGTATTAGAACTGATCTTTGCACCATCCAAAAGAACGATGTGGAAATGTTTGATTGTGTCTATATATGCTTTGAGGAATTTCGTAGTACTTGGAAGAAGTGTTGCAGGCCTGTTATTGGTTTGGATGGATGCTTTCTGAAATGGGAGTTGATAGGTGATTTGCTTGCAGCTGTTGGGAGAGATGCGGACAACAGAATGTATCCAATTGCATGGGCAGTAGTAAGAGGTGAGAACAAGGACACTTGGGGTTGGTTTGTGAAGAAGCTGAAGATTGATTTAGGATTAGGAAATGGAGACAACTTGACGATCATTTCAGATAAGCAGAAAGGACTGGTGATTGCTATTGCGGCTGAGCTTCCAAATGCTGAACACCGTATGTGTGCAAGGCATATATATGCAAATTGGAAAAAGCAAGGATACTCAAGATCAGAATACAAGAACCTATTTTGGGGGGTTGCCTACAGCTTTACTGAAGGAGAGTATGATGAGAGATTGGAGCTGCTTAAAGCTTTTGATCAAGGAGCCTATGATGCTTTACTAGCGACAGAACCACACAGATGGTGTCGTGCTTTCTTTAGTGTGGAGTCGCATTGTGCTGATGTTCACAACAATTTATCAGAGAGTTTCAATAGGACGATCAAGATGGCAAGATCGAAGCCTGTCATTAATCTACTAGAGGATATACGTAGACAAGCAATGAGAAGGGTTTCACGGCGGTTTCTAAAAGCTGAGAAGTTGGACACAGTGGTGACACCAATTACAATGGCAGTGTTAGAGAAGGCTATGATTGCTAAGCAATATTGCTCGACAATACGCAGCAGCAAAAGTGTGTATGAGGTTAATGAGTTTGACTGTGGTTATAAGGTTAACTTATCCACTCACCAATGTGCTTGTCGGAAATGAGATTTAACCGGTATACCATGTAAACATGCGGTGTGTGTTTTAGATGATAATCAAGATGATCCAGCGAGGTATGTAGCTGATTATTATTACACCGATGTACTGAAGAAGACATATGAAGATAATATCAAACCTGTGAATGGAGAAAAATTCTGGAAGAAGACAAATAAACCTGCAATAGCGATCCCTGAATTTCGCAAGCCACGAGGACGCCCAAAGACTAGAGATAGGAGAAAGGAACCATTTGAAGATCTTCAGAATCTAGGCAAATCAACAAGACATGGAAGAATTTAACACTGCAGCCGATGCAAGCAAGCAGGACACATAAAAACTAGTTGCAAGAATGAACCAGTGGTTGAGGAAGGCCCAAAGAACAGACGCGGTCGACCTCGGAAGCATCCAAATGAGGTAAAATATTTCTATATTTGCTTATCTTGTACAAAGTAATAAGAAAACTGGAGCATCTCAAACCACCTTTTTGTTTCAGGAGCATCTAAAACCACCACCAAAGCCAAGACAAAAAAAGAAAACTCCATCACTTGGAAGCAGCTCGCAGCCTGTACCATCAAACGCAATCGGTGAATTTGATGTAAGTTCTAGTGCTCCTCAACCTTCATCTTCAACAAATCAAGTGAAGCCCCATGTGAAGAAGGCTCCAAGAGGACGCCCATTGAAGATACAGAAAACCGGTAACATTCCGTATGGTGTTGGTGCTTTTTGGAGTCCTTACACTGATCGCCCTTTTGAAGTGTTTGGGAACAGAATTTATGATAGGTCAAACCCACTTCCTCAAGAAGATCCTATCATGCAATCTCGCGAGGGCCAAAGCAAGCAGCCTCCTATGGATGACTAAGGCGATGTCTTTTGTTTCCAAGTTGTATGAACAAGTTTAGGTCTCTATTACTGCTTATTCGGCTTTTGTTTCATGTTTTGGATTTGTTTAGATCTTCAAACTCAGCTCTATTTTGTATTGTTAAGACTGTTATCTATTATCTATATGCAACATTTTCCAGCTTAAGATTTCCACTTACCAACAATCCAAAGCAACTTCTTAACTCTTAAATGTCTTACAAACACAATAACATAGATTGATGTCTTACAAACACAATAACATAGATTGAAGTCTTACAAACACAAGAAGAAAACATAAAAGTCTTACAAAGCCAAACCATATCATTACCACATCAACACCAAACCGAAAATTCCATGAACAACATCACCACTTCGACATCACCATTATCCCTCCAACAGCCACACCAAATCCAACAGCTGAAGCGACAAGAACATTACGAAGCACATAACTCCTCTCATTTAGGATCAACACTTCCCTTTTGAGAGCTTCACATTGTTCATCTTTCTCCTTCTTTTTTTTTTTGAAACACTTTTTTTTTTTTTGAAACACTGTTCATCTTTCTCCTTCACTTTGTCTTCTAGTTCACTTGAAATTTCGACCATGGAGTTTTCATGAGTTAAGGATCTTACCTTGGTCCTTAGATTTGCTATCTCTGCTTTTTGTTCCCGAATTATGTCTCTCGCCTCTTGTAACGCAAGATGTTGCCATCCATGTGGTTTCTCCACATCGTACCAACGAAAGAAGTTGCAAGACTCACACCCATTCCCAACTCGATAACCACTGCAACCATAGAACCTACGACCTGGGTTTTCCCGAGTCCAAGCTCTGACCACCTTAGCTTTGCGTTTACAATCGCAAAGAACACCATTGTCGTCCGACGAAGACGAAATCGCACTTTGAGAATACACACTCTGGAAATTAACACTCTCAGACATTATTGAACTCTTTTTGAAGAAATCTCTCTTTCACTTTATCTTTCACGAACCCTAGATCCCCTTTTTGATTTATGATTTTTGTAGAGTTAATTAACACGTTTTTTAAGTTTAAACGTCTGTTTACTGCTCTGTTAACGGAGTCTAATATTCCGTTTAACGTTCTGATGACGAAAAGACGGAGGCCAAGTCGGAGGTTTATTATGTTAGTATAAATAGTTTGAAGGTTTAAAGTGAGAGTTTTTGACCGTGGAGGTTTAAAGTGCTACCTTTTCACACCTTTGAGGTTTAAAATGCGATTTTCCCATTAATAAAATTAAGCGTTATAAAAAATGAAGCAAATTGGGCATAAATTTGATTAAGAAAACCAAAAAAAAAAAAAATTGGGCTGAATTTTGCATCGTTCTAGTGATTTAAATGAAGCGAATGAGATTTTACGAAATTCGAATTGATCAAACCACTCCAGTTATATTGCCTTCCCCTCAAAAACACACAACGACGAGCTTTTAAATTGGAATGGTTTGTTGCACACAAAAAAAAATTAGAATGGTTCTGGCGACTTAACCGAACCGACTCTTGAATTTTAATGAGATTCGAGTTGGTTTATAATAATACAGTTAAACCGAGTTCGTTATATATATGCCTTCCCTCCAAGAAAACCCTCTCCACCATCGTCGTCTTCCAAAAATGGCTGGCGATCTCTTCCGCCGTAACAGACCTTTCCATCAACTCGATGGTCTCTACACTGAATGGTCCGAACACCTAACCAACCACTGCCTCCCTCTCTTCCGGCAATCTCAACCTTCCGCCGCCAATAACGCCGTCGTTCTCCGTGACTTAATCTCATACTACGACACCATAGACCACTACGCAAATAGATACACCATCTTTCACTTCCTCTTCCCCTCGTGGCACGTAAACTCCCCCGAGACCTCGATTCTCTTCCTCGGCGACATCCATCCTTATCTTTTCACCACTCTCATCCAATCTTTCATCGAAAGTAATCTTGGTGCGTGGAAAGACCAATCGTTAGGAATGAAAATCCACATGGGTCAGATCAAGGAGGAGATTAACATCACAGTTTTTCGTCTACTACATGAGATGAAGGAAACACAAGAGCGTTTCATGAAATGTTTCTCGGATAATTGGGTCTCGGCGTTTCATTCTCAGCGTTTGAGACCGAGTGTGACGGTTATGGAGACGGCGGCTTCGGTGAAGTTGGATGAGGAGTTTGTGAGAATCTTCCGTGAAGCGAATCAACTTAGGAAGAACACGATCACCAACATTGTTGATGTATCAGACGTGAATCAAGCGGCTCTCTTTCTTGAAGGCGTGTGCGAGTTTCTTGCAGGGTTTAGGCATCAGGTTCTTCTTTAATTATCTTGAGACTTTTCTTGTTAACACTTTCTTTTTGGTTGATATGATCAGTTCTTTTAAGGATGATTAGTGAATGATTTTGACATGAGTAGTAGTTGATGTTTATTTTTGAGATTATATGTGTAAGGATGATTAGTGAATGATTTTGATATGAGTATAGTAGAAGATTTGAGATTATACGTTTTTTATCTAAAATGTATGGTAATCATCCCATAATCCAGCAGCTTGCACATGGAGCGGCTCAGCGTCTTCCTAACCAGCAGTTTTCAGCACGTAACTACAATGGTCCGCCCTTGACCCAGCACCAACCTGAAGAGTTTCACGATATATGTGTTGAGAATTTGGACTCAGATGTTACACGTGATATGCTGCGACATAGTTTCAGACGTTATCCTTCGGTTAGGGAGGTAAAAATTCAGAATGTTACCGGACGTGACCAAAAACGTGGTTTTGTTAGCTTTGCAGATGAAAGTGAGAGAAAGCGTGCTATGCAGGAAATGAACGGTGCTAAGCTTTTAAATAAGCCAATGAAAATTCGTGATGAAGCTCACGGCAGTATCTAGCCTCACTTTCCTTCACTGTTTACTTGAGATTTGATACTAAAAGCAGTTTCTTGAGTCTCTTTGTTATTGTAAAGGATTTACTTCTCTTTAGCTATAGTTTTCTTTTATGCCTTAATCTAAACTGAACCAGAAGATTCTATATATGAAGTGAGGATTTGTTTCAGTTACCAATATTTTAGTCAGTTTCTCCTTCATATGATTTGTATTTTGTGATATATATTATGAAAAGACCTTTGCTTTTAGTACCACTTAATTCATGAATAATATGGGAAAATGATCAATTAAATATTTAAAACACAAATATTTACTTATACTCAATTCCATTAGTAATTTCTTTCTTTTGGTTCCTAAAATAAGAAAACAAATAAAAAGCAAATTTGGGTTTAAGTTTGCATGGTTCTAGTGATTTAAACGAACCAAATGGAATATTATGAGAAGCGAATTGGTTAGAGTCGAACCAATCCGGTTTTATTATCTTATAAATTGGCATGGTTCATGTTATTTAACAGAAGCAATAATGAATTTGAGATTCGAGTTGGTTATATAGTTAAACCGAGTTCGTTATACTTCCTTTCCCTCCAAAAACAGAGCAAACCCTCTCCTTCGTCGTTATCTCCCAGAAATGGCCGGCGATCTCTTCCGCCGTGATAGACCTTTCCACCAACTCGATGGCTTATACACCGAATGGTCCGAACACCTAACCAAAAACTGCATCCCTCTCTTCCGCCAATCTCAACGTTCCGACGTCAATAACTACGCCGTTCTCCGCGACATACGCTCATACTACGACACTCTAAACCACTACGCCACTAAAGACACAGTCCTCTACTTACTCTTCCCCTCATGGCGCAGCAACTCCCTTGAGACTCCGATTCTCTTCCTCGGCGACATACACCCTCGTCTTTTCACCGATCTTATCCAGTCTTTCATCGATCAAGATCCAATCTGCAGCACTTACAGTGATCTTGCTGCGTGGGAAGAACTATCGTCCGAGCTCCAGAACACTATTAACGGAACGGTCTCGGGTCTACTAGGTCGGATGAGGGGAGCACTGGACGGTTTTATAAGACGTTTCTCGGGTAAGTTTGTATCGTCGTTTCTTGGTTCTCGGAGTGGAACGGTAGTAATGGAGACGGCGACTTCAGTGATGGAGGAGGATGATAGTGTGATCATGGAGGAGCTTGTGAGAATCTTCGTTGAAGCGAATAAACTGAGGAAAGATACGATCACCCACATTGTTGAAGTGTTAAACATGAATCAATTGGCTCTCTTTCTTGAAAGCTTTTGCAAGTTTCTTGCTGGGTTTAAACATCAGGTTTGGCTTTCTTGAATTTACAACTTTGTTTTTGCTTTTTTAAAAAAGAATGATTAGTGAATGATTTTGACATGAGTAGTAGTAATATATTTTTGAGATTATAATGTTTTATCACAAAATTTGCAGGATCAGGCTTTTCAGAATTCTCTATTTGGTAAACATCTCATTATCCAGCAGCGTCCACCACATGTTGACCAGCTCTTCCAGCCTTTTGCTCCATCCAGATTGGTCCCGAATTATCCTTCTCCCCGCATGATGCAGCATTATGTACCTCTGCTTCTACCAGTTGGCCACCAGCGCTTCCCTCCTTTTGCTCCATCCGGATTGGTTATTGCACAACAGAATTATCATCCGCCCATGATGCAGAAGTATGCACCTCAGCAACATACACCTGAACAGGGTCACGTTATATATGTTGGGAACTTGGCCCCAGCGGCCACGCAGGAGTTGCTACTACAGGAGTTCAGTCGTTATTATCATTCGGTCAGGGAAACAAGGATTTGCTTTGACGAAAGAAGTGGACACAAATATGGTTTTGTTAGCTTTGCAGATGAAAGGGAGAAATGGCATGCTATGGAGGCAATGAACCGTAAATTCTTTTTAGGTAGGGAAATGTATATTGGTCTTGCAGCTAAGAACTCTATCTAGTCTCACTTTCCTTCACTATATACTTGGGATTGACACTAAAAGTAGTTTCTAGAGTCTCTTTGTTTTTTTATTGTCTGTTGTAAAGGATTCATTTCTCTTTAATTAGCTTTGCTTCTCTTTTATGCTTTAATCTGTGTAAGCTGAACCAGAATATTATATGAGCTGACGATTTGTTTCCATTATCATTTTAGACACATTCTACTTCATATGTGCTCAAAATTATGCAAAGAGTGTGATTTTTTTAATACAGCTTAATTCATGGATAATATAGAAAAATGATCAATCTTATTATATAAAGCTTGATTCTTCAAAATTACTAATTAACATGATCGTGACACATGACAATTATGTGTTTAAGATTGTGACATATGTGAATCTATCTCATTATTAAAAAAAAATATATACTAAGATATCTTATTATATAAAGCTTGATTTTTCAAAGTTACTAATTAACATGATCGTCACACATGACAATTATGTGTTTAAGATTGTGACATGTGTGAATCTATCTCATTATTAAAAATATATATACTAAGATAATAACAAAAAGTAATTATAATTATTATATAATAGTATTTTTTCTTTTTTTAAAACCCTAAACAAAAGATAATTGTAAAATATTATTTGATAGTAATTTTCCAACTTCTCCAACCTTTATTGTGTTTTCTTCTATAACTAATGTTATGTGCTTCACTGATGAGAAGAACGGTGAAAAACCTGGCCAAATGTTTTCCTACTTTTATAGCATTTTGTTTTATAATATTTCCATTTACTATTTTGAATGATTGTTTTTAATGATCAAATTTTAGTTGATTAACTATATGCAAAATACATTTGCAGGTTTATAGTTTTGTGAAGCTAGCAGAACTGTTTTGTGGGGTTTTCACATGCCACTGGTTTGTCTAGATGGTGCATTTTTTCCCTATGTTTGGAAAAGAAAGTTTGCTGGGCAAGCCCAAGATGGTGCTTCTGTTGTTGATAGAACCAGATTTCATATTGTTGCTAGGCTTAATGATTTATTTGGGCTATCAGTTTCTCCTCGAAAATTGTAGTTTTTGTTTATTGGATTGAATGATTAGCTTATAAAATCAAGCATTCTGTTGTAGTGTGTTGGTATGGAATGTTGTTACGTGTTTTACTTTTAAGCTTTCTTTTATTTTTTGAAACGTGTTGTAAGATTGTTTTGTGTAGATTTTAGAACTCTTCCGGCTCATATACTTGAATCAAACCTGGTTCTGAATTATATAGTATCTTAAGTTTCATGGACATAATGAAAACTTTATACGTCACTATGATTCTGTTGTGAATGTTGTTTCCTTCCATTTTTTATCCTCTTGATGCATCATATCACTCTTAAAGATAGGTAGCTGTAAGTTAGCTCTAAATGGCATGCAAAAAAACTAAAGCTACAGCACCAATCAGTCCACTGTAAACTTTTTATAGACTTATTATATTGAATGAGTATAATATTTTACTGTCAAATGATTTATATATCATACATATACTAGAAAGTATCTTCCAGTTTAAAAATACTAAATTTTGACCCGCACAACCTTGCGGCCTTTTTGAATACTAAAATACTATATGTTATACAATAAAAATTATCCATATATTAATATAATTTGATGTTATATATTATCTAAATGTATAATAATGTTTGTGTGGTTTATAATATTATTACTTTAAAATTCATAATTTTTTATTTTAAAAAACAGTATTATGTAAGAGTAATAATTATTTTATTTCAAAATTTGAAATATATGTGAAAGTTAAATTAAGTTGGACCAACATTATAAAGAAGCAAAATTTTAGAATAATGTTAAAAAAAAATTATTATAATTTTTAATTTGTGTTATAAATCAGAAATAAATAATTGTTTTAATTATATTTTCTGATAATTAAAATTTTAATTAACTGATTCGAAAATATATTTGAAAGATCTTAAAGATCTTAAAAAAATATTGTTAGAATTTTTATAATTTTTCGTATTTTAAATAAAAATTAAAGATATGAAAGATATTATAGTGATGTTATGGAAATCTAATAAATTTTCTAAGGATGGTCCAAATTAAAAAATTACAGATGAACTGACATATAACTTCTATTTTGATATAATAGATTGTCAAATAAGATTATCAACGTATTATATTGAACTCAATATAAAACATAAAAACCTCTCTAAACTGTTGAACTCGATATGCTTTCCCTTATTTGGGATGAAAGTTTAATAATATATATAAAACTTGAACGCACTTATATTTGGCACATTTATATGAACTTGAAAAGGAAAAAATACCCGCGCTTTTAAAGCGCGGATCAAAATCTAGTAGTAGATTATAGTCAACACTTAATAAAATATTGTTGTGAAGTTGGTGATGATGATTTTTACCTCAGCCTCTTTTTCCTTTGCCTGGTGTGAACCATTCCATCTCCTTCAACCTTTGAGAAGGCTTTGTGTCCTACGTCACATGACCAGTGGCGGATCTATTGAGGGCAATAGGGTGTCATATGACACCCCTTAATCTATTAAAAATATTTGTATGTGTAAAATCTTATAGATTTTTTGGCATTTATGGTAAAATCCATATCTTGACACCCCATTAACTCAAGTTCAAGCCCAACATGACATCTTATTATTTTGTAATCAAAATTTTGACACCCCATGAACTAATTCCTGGATCCGCCACTGCTCATGACCAATGTGTCGAATCTTGTACAAACGGGCCTGGAGGCTGTCCAGACTTAATAAAATGTTGTTGTGAAGTTGGTGATGAGGATTTTTACCTCGGCCTCTTTTTCCTTTGCCTGGTGTGAACCATTCCATCTCCTTCAACCTTTGAGAAGGTTTCATGTCCTACCGTCTCATGACCAGTGGCGGATCTACTGAGGGCAATAGGGTGTCATATGACACCCCTTAATCTATTAAAAACATATTTGTATGTGTAAAATCTTATAGATTTTTTGGCATTTATGGTAAAATCCATATTTTGACACCCCATTAACTCAAGTTCAAGCCCAACATGACATCTTATTATTTTGTAATCAAAATTTTGACACCCCATGAACTAATTCCTGGATCCACCACTGCTCATGACCTTTGTGTCGAATCTTGTACAAACGAGTCTGGAGGCTGTCCAGGGGCAAAATCATGAGGGGCAGAAGATGAGTCTGGAAATGGAGAATTTGTGTACACAAAATCCAAGGCTGAGACTGCTGGTGGATCTTTGGTTCATCATTATCCAATACCGCAAATAAGTTCTTGAGAGCAAATGATATAGAATATGGAGAGGTAAAAATATAATCAACCACGTTAACCATTTTCCCTAGAGAACCTTCTCAAATTGGTGGTGGAGAATATGGTGAGAAGTCAACAGGTTTTGAGACATCACAACTGTTCAATGGTTTCTTACAGTAGTTGGGGGAATGCCTTTTGCATCAAAAACAGGAGTAACATGAGCAGTCTCCTTTTGAGTACTAGCCACAGGAACATCTTCAATGGGAGAGTCAATGGGAATGTTCACAGTCACAACTGAGACAGAGGAGACAATGGTGACTTCACTTCTTGGCTCTCCAATTACAAAATTTTCCTTTGTAGTAAGGTCATTAGTCATTACCTTCATGATCAAGAAGCATGCAACCCTGAGAATCAATCGATGTAATATCTGAACTTTCCTTGGATCCTAAAGAGATTGTGTCAGTAGCTTTGAGAGACTGATAAGCAGCAGAAATTTCAACAGGTACCGAGTAAATATTGGTAGTAGATACCAACAGTTGATCTTGTGCACACGAGTTTATTTTTAGTGTAGAGAATTGAGAAACTTTGCTGACTGGGATCTGAGGAAGACCAAGGCATCTAGAAGCATTGTGACCTAGCTGTCCACACTTAGGGCACACCGAAGGCAGACATTAGTAGATAACATAAACCATTGATATTGATCTGCTTTCATTTTCTAGTGCTACTATTTGAGGAAATTGTCTGTCCAACTTAACCTCAACCATAATTTTTGCCTCACCCATCAGAATAGGGTCGAGCCAAGGCTAATTGGTGAGCATAGGTGCCCCTATACCTGAAGCTATCCAGATTATACCTTTCTTGGAGTAAAGCTGGTGGGGATTGTCTTTCAAAGTAAGGCAGACTGGAATTGTGGATATCTCAGGGACAATGATGGTTCCCATCCCAGGTAGATACAAACATTAAGCAATCGTCAACGTGCTATATTCCTCTCTGAACTATCCACTTACGAGTTGGTGTTATGTTTACTTCGTAAATCTGAGACTGAAAAATTGTTCTATTGAATTGAAGAAGTACAAGTTATAAAGACCTAAACAACTTGAGAAACAAACGTGAAAGCTAAAAACTCGGAAACTAACTCCACTACTCTAGGACATGTCATAGTGACTTCTTGATGTAACAAAGACTAAGTCGAAGTAACTTCTCCTTCACTCTCGGACCAACTTTGCTCTAACAAACCTTCCTTAAGCTAAGCTTCATCTGATGAACTTAGCTTACTTCCTGCAGAGCAAACTCCAAGTTTGCTTCTCAAGGTTTCAAATGTCTCTCGCTTCAGTGGCTTAGTTAGGATGTCCGCTGCTTGTTCTTGTGTTCCACAATGCTTCAGCTCAATCACTCCACTGTTAACCAAATCCCTTAAGAAATGAAAAAGAACATCAATATGTTTGCATTTACCATGAAATACCGGATTCCTTGAAAGCTTTATTGCTGATGTATTGTCACACAATATTGTAGTGCTTTCCTCCACTTCATAGCTTAGCTCCTTGAGTATGCGTCTGAAACATATGGCTTGACACGCACATGCTGATGCTGCAACATATTCTGCTTCTGTGGTTGACAATGTCAATTGGCTGCTTCTTAGACGACCATGCCACTGCTGCTCCATCAATCAGAAAGGCATATCCAGACGTACTCTTGCGACCATCAATATCCCCAGCAAAATCACTATCTGTGTAGACCAATACTTCACCAGCTCCTCCTCGTTTGT